TCATTTATACCACGTTAGATCTAATTTACTAATTTATACCAAGTTAGTTCTATTTTATATCACGTTATAAACCTAATTTATACCACGTTATATCTAATTTATACCACGTTAGCTCTAATTTATACCAAGATAGTTCTATTTTTTACAACGTTATAAACCTAATTTATACCAAGTTAGTTCTATTTTATACAATGTTAGATCTAATTTATACAAAGTTAGTTCTATTTTATACCAAGTTTGTTCTCATTTTATATCAAGTTAGTTCTAATTTATACCAAGTTAGTTCTAATTTATACCAAGTTATTTCTGTTCTGTAGAGTGTTAGTTCTAATCTGCACAGTGTTAGTTCTATTCTGTAGAGTGTTAGTTCTAATCTGCACAGTGTTAGTTCTATTCTGTAGAGTGTTAGTTCTAATCTGCACAGTGTTAGTTCTATTCTGTAGAGTGTTAGTTCTAATCTACAGTGTTAGTTCTATTCTGTAGCGTGTGATGGCTTGTTAGTTCTATTTTATTACACGTTATATCTAATTTATACCATGTTATATCTAATTTGTGTTAGTTCTGTTGGCCTTCTTGTTTTGATGATGTTTAACAAACAATTTACCACTAATGTTGTTTGTCTAGTATTTGTGTTTTCTTATTTATTACAGACAAACAACGTTGTTGGAGGTTGGATGGATTGCGCCATAACGACGATATCAAATGGAGGTTGGCGGAATTGTGGAGTGAAGCAACATGCAATTCATAGTTAAAGATCAAGTTCAAGCTTCATCCGCAACGTGTACCAAGTCAAGCTTATTGAAGATCAAGATCGGTTTGGGTAATCTAGTTTAGGTTTTATATTATGTGTGTTAAGTACTCTAAGCTCAATTATCTATACACACACATTTTATTAGTTTCCTTGTATATATATGTAATCACATATATATACAACACAAGTTTTGGTTTTCATGTTTATAAATATGAAATTACATGTTTCATATTTATTATTGTGATTTGGTTTATCTACATAGATATGAAACAAATATATTCTCATATACATACTCATAGGTTTCATTTTCTATTGTATTTGTGAAAATATTATATTCTTAGTTTATAGACTTCAATATCAGTTTATACATGTTTTACTAAGTCTACAAAAACATTTCACAAAGTTTCAAAAGTTGGTTTATGTCAAAACATCAAAATTCAAGTATCTCATATTTTCATGTTTTGGACTATTTTGCAAAAAGATGATATTTCTCATTTGGGAAGTCTTTTTAGAAAACCAGTTTTTGTAGCATGTGTATTATCATGTCTACAATCATTCCCCAAAGTTTTACATTTTTTGGAATTTATTTGATATTTTTAAACAGTGTTTTAAAATCAGCTTTGTTTTCTGAAATGTCTGTTTTCGGTCGACCGGTACGGTCGACCGGTCAATTGACCATTCGTCAGTATTTTTCCAGAGAGTCATCGGTCGACCGGTCCGGTCGACCGAGAGCTCAAATCGGTCGACCGACAGAATTTCCGGTCGACCGACAATATAACCGTTGCTTTTCCAACGGCTATTTTCTGAGCTGTTTGCTGGGGCAGTTTTTGTTTGTATCAGAATGCGGTCGACCGCACCGGTCGACCGGATCTGTGTTCTCCCGCTATTTGCTACTTGAGTTTAGTTGATTTGATCTTATTTACTCATTGTTACACACACCCACATTGAGCTTATAGTATTTGCATACATAGTATAGTTGGGTGGTGAGAGATTGTAACATTGAGTTGTGCTACATTATGTTCTCATCTATTGTAGAGAACAAATTTGTTGTATTTACTTTGTGAGTGTTGTAAGGTTTTCGGTGAGCTAGAAACCGAGTGTGTTGTGAAGTTTTCGGTGAACTAGAAAACCGAGTGTGAGGAGTGGACGTTGATCGGTGAACGTTGAAAACCGACATTGTGAGGGTGAGTGTGAACGTTGATCGGTGAGCGTTGAAAACCGACACTGTGAGGTGTAAACGTTATTCGGGTGACCGTAGAAAACCCGGTTGTGATAGTGGATTTCTCCCCGGGAGTGGGGAGCGGAGACGTAGGACGGAAGGTCCGAACTCCGTGATCATATTGCTTGTTTGAGTGTGCTTTGGCGTTCTTTCATATTTATGTTCATATCTTATATCGCCATTGTCATTAGCTCATTATCTATATCATCCACTATCTTGTTTACATTGTTTACCCTTGTGTTTATATATCCTTGCATATATAGTTTATCATATAGGATATAATTCATTATTCATATTGCTTATCCTAGCTCATATATCTTGTTGTATTTCATACTTGCTAGGATAACTTGTTAATTAATTTTAATTGGTATTTAATCGGATTAGATTAGCACAAGACCCTAATCACCCCCCCTCTAGGGTCTAACAAGTTCTATTTTATACCAAGTTATAAACCTAATTTATACCACGTTATATCTCATTTATACCACGTTAGATCTAATTTACTAATTTATATTAAGTTAGTTCTATTTTATATCACGTTATAAACCTAATTTATACCACGTTATATCTAATTTATACCACGTTAGCTCTAATTTATACCAAGATAGTTCTATTTTTTACAACGTTATAAACCTAATTTATACCAAGTTAGTTCTATTTTATACAATGTTAGATCTAATTTATACAAAGTTAGTTCTATTTTATACCAAGTTTGTTCTCGTTTTATACCAACTTAGTTCTAATTTATACCAAGTTAGTTCTAATTTATACCAAGTTATTTCTGTTCTGTAGAGTGTTAGTTCTAATCTGCACAGTGTTAGTTCTATTCTGTAGAGTGTTAGTTCTAATCTGCACAGTGTTAGTTCTAATCTGTAGAGTGTTAGTTCTATTCTGCACAGTGTTCGTTCTAATCTGTAGCTTGTGATGGCTTGTTAGTTCTATTTTATTACACGTTATATCTAATTTATACCACGTTATATATCTAATTTATGTTAGTTCTATTTTATGCCAAGTTATAAACCTAATTTATACCACGTTATATCTCATTTTATACCAAGTTATTTCTAATTTATACCAAGTTAGTTCTATTTTATACCACGTTATAAACCTAATTTATACCACGTTATAAACCTCTATTTTATACCACGTTATATCTAATTTATACCACGTTATATCTAATTTATACCACGTTAGCTCTAATTTATACCAAGATAGTTCTATTTTTTACAACGTTATAAACCTAATTTATACCAAATTAGTTCTATTTTATACCAAGTTAGTTCTATTTTTTACAACGTTATAAACCTAATTTATACCACGTTAGATCTAATTTATACCAAGATAGTTCTATTTTATACAACGTTAGATCTAATTTATACAAAGTTAGTTCTATTTTATACCAAGTTTGTTCTCATTTTATACCAAGTTAGTTCTAATTTATACCAAGTTAGTTCTAATTTATACCAAGTTATTTCTGTTCTGTAGAGTGTTAGTTCTAATCTGCACAGTGTTAGTTCTATTCTGTAGAGTGTTAGTTCTAATCTGCACAGTGTTAGTTCTATTCTGTAGAGTGTTAGTTCTATTCTGCACAGTATTAGTTCAAGTCTGTAGAGTGTTAGTTCTATCCTGTAGAGTGTTAGTTCTATTCTGTAACCTGTTCCGATCCAAGTCAGTTCTGCTTCTGCACATGTTAGTACTATCTGATACCAAGTTAGTTCTATTCTTTGGCTTGTTACTCCTAGCCCCTCGAGCGCATCGAATAACTGAGATGTTAGTTCTATTCTTTTAAGCGTGTTAGGCCTAATATGATAGTTGTTTTGTTACTTACAACTTTTTATCTAGTGTAAGCTGATGTTAGTTCCCGATTAACAAAGAGTAAACATTCAATCGGAAAAAAACAAAATATTTGTTGCATACTGGGACGAAAACACTTCAACATATCAAACACTTAGTCAGCTATAGATTCATTACATGTTTTACGGTTATGACCTTCCATATGACATCGAGAACATTTTACTGGCCGCGTGTAAACAGTTCTGTTGTTGATACGCCTGGTTTTATTTCTCCCTTTCCTTTTTATTGTAAGTGGAGGTAGGATCTGTATCTCATCCCTTGGCACGATGCACTTCTCAAAGTCAGGGATAGGGTAGAGGATTGGCTCGTAGTTTTTTTTGAAGGCTTCAACCGTCATAAACCAGTCACAGAACTGGTAGACATCCCTTTTCATAAACATAATGGATGCACATGCATGTTTGCAAGGGACACGGGTTACATCCCACCCACGGCAAGTGCATGTTTTATTGTCTAGATCCACTTGACAAGATCTATGGGATTGTACCTCAAATAATCCTGTGTGGGACTGACGAACCTCCAATGGACGGCCATTTTCCATGTTCTCTTTGAGAGCAAGTTCAGCTTTGGGGCAAAGAAATTGATTCCAGCTTTCAGCCATGGTTCGTCGCTCGTTCATACGAACCATAATCTGTTTACGTATGTGCTCTACCAGTTGAAGTATCCGTAGTAGCCTAGCCTCATGTATCCATTTGTTGAATGACTCTGCAACATTTGATGTAACGTGACCATATCTGAAATATAATAGGGAATTCGTCAAGCGGCTTATAATAGTCATGTAATGAAATAGCTTATAACTTACCTAACTCCAGGGAAAAACGCATTGGCCCAGTTTTCTGGAGCGTAGTTCATCACAATATTGTAAGCTCTTTCGTCAACCAGTCTAATGTCGTCCATGTAATCATTCCATTTTGCTCTAGTATATTTGTAACAGGCAGATTGCAATAGATTACCCAAGATCTGAGTATCTTTTGATTTGAATCCCAAATCCTTCAACTTTGTCCTGAAGTTCTCAACTAGATGCAACACACATCGAGAGTGTATAGAATCTGGAAAAAATTCTCTAACTGCTTCTCTGATCCCCTTATCCGCATCTGAAATTATCACCAGCTTGCGTGGAGGGTTGTATGGATCTGGCCTTTTGTAGAGAATGGACCACAAACCTACGAAGAGTTGTGGTTACCATACACGAATTATAGAGTTAGCAATGAATGAGCTAGAATTATCATAACCTGCAATAGAACTAACATAGCTAGGGATAGAACTAACCTTGTAAGAACCACTTCCAGTTAACGTTATTTTCCTGATCGCATATACAGTACGCCAATGGAAATATCCCCTGATTTCCATCATATGCTACGGCGCTTAGGAGTATGCCTTTGAATCGATCTTTAAGAAAGGTACCATCCAAAAACAAGAGTGGTCTACAGCCGTATAAAAAACCATTTATGCAGGCGGCGTAGCATATGAATAACCTTGTAAACCTCCCCTCATGTTGTTCAACATGAATATAGCTACCTGGGTTTGTCTTCTTGACCTCTTCTACATACCTAGAAAATTGAAGATTAAGCGTTAGTACCAACATTGAAAAATTAGTATAATCAACGTCACATAAAGGAAATTAGTTTGTCTTTTGTTAGATATCATCTTCTATTTACCATCGTAATTGATCGTAGGACTCACGGGCATCACCATACAATTTCTCTTGTGCTCTTTCTTTACCCCACCAAATCTTACTATAGTCGACCCTAATCCCATACGAGCTTAGAAACTCCTTTTGAACGTCAATAGGCCGTATATCCGGTCGAACCTTTAACGTGGGTTGTAATTGGGTAGCAATGAATCGCCTTGAGGCTCTAGATTGACCAGCATTATTGCCATGCTGCCCACAACTGTGATTGTCCACAAACCTTTTGATTTCAAGTCTATTATCATTTTTCGGTGGAGAGGCAAATAACATCCACGGACAATTTTTGGCTTCCTTAAACCGACAAAACACTCGAATACGCTTCGGTTCATTCTTCCCAAACTCGTATTCGAATTTTTTTGCCATGGAGTAGTATAGCAAGGCCAATCTTAACTCCTTCGCACTTTCAAATCGTTGTCCCTCACCGGTTAAAGCTGTATGCCACCAAGCAGGAATCCTCTCTGATCTGCTAATCATGTCATCAATCGTCATGACATTATCTCTGGAAGGATTGTCATTGGGATTCTTATCTGGAACACTTGTGGTCCACAACGCCGACGGGCCACAGTCTACACTTTTTGAGTTCAAACTGCACAAATAATAGAAGTATCAACAGATAATAGCAAAAGCTAAAAAGCAAAAACGACAATTGCTTGCAGTTAGAATCAATTAGAACTAGAAAGAACTAACAATATAACCATTAGAGCTAACAGTGCATTGATTAGAACTGACATAATAGCTATTAGAACAAACAATATAGCCATTAAAGGTTAGTTCTAATTTAACGAAGTTATTTCTATTTTATAACAAGCTATTTCAAAATTATAACATGTTAGTTCTATTCTGCACAGTGTTAGTTCTATTCTGTAGAGTGTTAGTTCTAATCTGCACAGTGTTAGTTCTATTCTGTAGAGTGTTAGTTCTAATCTGCACAGTGTTAGTTCTATTCTGTAGAGTGTTAGTTCTAATCTGCACAGTGTTAGTTCTATTCTGTAGAGTGTTAGTTCTAATCTGCACAGTGTTAGTTCTATTCTGTAGAGTGTTAGTTCTAATCTGCACAATGTTAGTTCTATTCTGTAGCTTGTTAGTTCTCTTAATATGCACAGTGTTAGTTCTAATCTGTAGTGTGTTAGTGTCAGTTCTAACTGATGGCTTGTTAGTTCTATTTTATACCTACATTGTCTAATTTATACCACGTTATATCTAATTTATAACAAAATAAAACATGGTAGATCTAACCATAGGCGTCTAGTAGAACTAACAAAATAGCGATTAGAACTGACAAATAAAACATTAGAACTCTAGTATGGAGCATAACAAAGAACTGCTTAATGACAAATAAAACATTAGAACTGAAGTCCAGTTAAACCTAGTATAGAACTAACAAGAAGACGATTAGAACTTAAGTTAATTGATTTTACAGTTAACCTACATGTCTTGTCGGACTTGCTCGTTTTCCTGTTTATTCGAAGAATCATCTCCTTCTTTAAAAGCTTGCGCGTGAACCTCTTTCAGTCCAAGATTGTGGCAATGCTCCACCATAGACGTCAGATCACCATCGTTCTCAATGAGAAATTTTAAGCTTCCAACTGTTTGATCTTCGTATGCCAAAATTAATGACTCGTATGGAAGATCTAACCTCTCTGCCGCATCAAACTTGAGATCCAAGATGGTGGTTGAAGAATTAATCTTCAAGAATACCGCTTTATACTGCGAAGAGATAATGCAGATGATGTCCTTTTCAGCCATTTTGAAGGGATAGTAAGAGTAATGGAGAGAGTTATGGAGAGAATTTTGGTTTGAGGAGGAGGAGTAATGGAGAACTAACTAGTTATTGCTCATGATGGAGTAAAAAAAAGGGGGAAATTTTCCTTCATTTTCCCCATCATATCGCATTAATGAGAAGTGACTTCTGTTGTTCGGGACCAGGACTCGTATGGGGAAGAAAGAGAAGGGCAGTTTCGGTTTTTTTACAAAATACGATCTGCTTTTAGTATAAAGCTGACGTGAAGGGGGCTTAAAACATAAAAGCTCAACTTTGGGGGCTATTCCACATGGGGCAAAGTACAGGGGGGCTAGTCACACGAAGTTCCCACTTTTGGGGCCTGGACACATTTTTCCCAAAAAAAATCCCAAAAATATATTAAAATTTGGGTACCGAAGTGTCAGAAAAAGAGTAATGATACTCTGGCACTGTTACAAACAAAAGAGTGGTAAAAAAAATACTTTGGGGTTGTCGACGTTAATAATGGCTTAAACTTTGGGGTACCAAAGTGTAAATAACCCTAATAATAATTAATGGTCAAATTTTCAAAACCATCCTATTTGAACATTTAATCCCAAAAAACGATCTGTTTTGAACTTATTTGCAAAAACCGACCTGGTTTTCAGTGTTGGCGCTGAAACCAGGTCGGTTTTTGTGAAAAAGCTTCTAAAACTTCACGGGAGTTGAACTCCCATGAAGTTTAGTAAAACTGTTAAGTTTTGTGAAAAATTTTTAAACTATGAAACTTCATGGAAGTTGAATTCCCGTGAAGTTTCGGAATTTTTTTTAAAAAACCGTTCTGATTTCAGCATAGAGCTAAAACCAGGTTGTTTTTTAAAAATAAATTCTAAGCAGATTTTTTTTAGGATTAAATGTGGAAATACGTTGGTTTTGAAAATTCGTCCAATAATTAATAGAAATTGGGCCCTCGGCTTGCTCCGCTAGTTTAGAGCTGGTTCCTCCTCTCTCACCCTCACCTCGCCTCTCTCTCTCTCTCTCTCTCTCTCTCTCTAAAAATGCCATCAATGGCCTCAAACCCTAGTTCCAATCTCCAGCCCGAACAAGAAACCCTAGACGAAGAAGAAGAAGAGATGAGCCCCCCTGACGTCGAATCTTCTGGATCAAACCCTAGTTCCAATCCACAACGCGGACGAGAAACCCTAGTTGAAGAACATGAGAGAAGGCCCAATGCCATCGAAGCTGATGCAGATGATAGTATGTCCACAAATGATGATGATGATATTTATGGTAGCGATGATCTTTTGGGTAGCGATGATGATGATGGTACAGAGTATGGCGATGGTGATGATGATGACGATGATTCTGATGATGATTCTGAGGAGGAGGAGGAGGAGGAAGAGGAAGAAGAAGAAGAAGGAAATGGGATCGAAAGCTGCAATCAAAGCTGTGGTGCTGATTGCCCCATTTGCTTACTTTCTTGGAACTCGGACGGTCCGCATCGAATTTGGTAAGTTTAGATTGAAAATTTTTAGGGGAAACCCCTAATTGTTTTATTATGTTTGTTTAATTGCGCGATGCTACTTCCATTTTGATTTGTATATGAACTGATTCCAGATAACTCATATGCAATGTATGATTTTTGTCAAATATTAGAACCTTAAATCTTCATATTTCTAAGTTATATGCCCCAAAATGTTCATATTTGTTCAAAGGATCGGGATCCTCTCCAATTAGGTGGAAATTGGAGAGGATTAACTTCTCTCAATTCTTACCACCCATATCACTTCCAGTGGACGAGGTCACGCCACATAGGTTTTATCTTGAAAACCACTCTGGTCTTGAAAACCACTAGTAAACTTAAAAAGCACGGTAGTCAAAACCACTATTGAAAATTTTAAGTGGCGTGGTCTCATCCATTAGAATTGAGATAAATGGTATGGATTGAGAGAATTGGACCTCTCCAATTACCACCTAATTGGAGAGGATCTGAATCCTCGTTGAAAATAGGGGTCTTACTTAAAATAACTTAATAGATTTGAGGGTCTTATTTAAAACAGCTTAATAGATTTAGCGACCTAATATAGAATAAAGAATTGGGATCTAATATTACAAAAAACCTATAATTTAATTACGATGTAATATTTATGTTTGTATGCCTATGGATAGGGGTGTGTGTGTTTGTGTGTGTGTGTATAAGACTATAAGTATATGTATATAGAGTTTCTGGATATACTTGTCATTTAGATGTGCATATCTTGCATGACACAAAACAGGAGGTATAAAGTTATTGCTTAGCAAAAAATTACTTGTTGACCGTAAACTAGTGATAAAGATTAGAAGGTCAAAATGAGAATAACTCTTATTCAAACCGAGATTTGTTTTTGGGTTAGTTGCTTTAATACCCTCAATTTCACTCATTTTTAACTAGGGAACCCATAAGTTTAGATTTTCGAAATGATACTTTTCACCAGCTATACACTTTAATATCTATCTTCGTTATCCAATATTTATTTAACTTAAAGCTCATCTACTAAGAAACCCTAACTCATTTCTTCACTTCTAAGTTACTTCATTTTGCATTGTTATTGGCATGACTGCGATTTTTTTCTCTCAATTTTTCAGTGAAGATAATGTTCCTTCAAATTCATATTTACTCATATTCTCTTAAAATCAACATCATAACTAAAAATATCAGAAATTGACAACTTATTAACAATCGGCAAGAACCTAAACATTATTCCCAAATTTTAACCTAATTTAAGAATTGTTCGTCAGTGATTTGGAAGAAATAGGAAGAAAGAAACCCTGAGTTGCCAAAGTAATCAACCAATTAAAGAAAATGGATATTATTGTAACTTTAACCCCACTACATTACGTTGCCCCCTGGGTGGGGGATGGGCTGCAGGTTAATACTTTACTTTTTTTAATGACACTCCAAAGTTTTTAAGCTACAATTCACTCTCATTAACCTAATGGAGACATTGGAGAGAGTATCCATTTTCTTGGTTAATTATTTGATTTTATGGCAAGTTTGGGTTCTCTTTCCATTTTTCTCCAAATCCCCAAATTAGGTTAAAATATGGGACTGGCATTTAGGATTCTTTCTGTAATGTTAATAAGTTCTTCAACTATTGATATTTTTAAGTTATGGCATTGATTTTTAGACAACATGAGTAATTAGTTAAAAGATCATTATTTTCACTGCAAAAATGAGAAGAAAAAACATAGTTATTGTAAAGTGATGTGGAAATTTCTTACCAAATTTAAGTACTTTGTGTTTAGGTTGAGCGCAAAAATGAATGAGGGTTTTGTTTTAAATGGGTTTTGTGGATAAGTTGATATTTGATTAAGAAAGGGAGTCAGGGGAATCCTTTTCAATTTAAGGGTCTAAAATCCAAAAATAATATCATGTAATGCTTTTTAAGCAAAACTTCCATCGGTCATGTAATGGAAGACACTGAAGTGTAAAATTGGTGAAATTTTGGAGTTTCATCTGTGAAATTTAAACTTCAGGGTTCAAGGTCCGAAAGCTAAACATGAGTAAAACTTTGGGCATTAAAGTGATAATCCAAAAATAAATTATGAATTATTCAAATGGTAGTTGTCATTTGACCTTCTGGTCTTTTTCACTAGATTGTTGTCAGTTTAATACAAATAGTTTTTTGCTAAGTAACAAATTGTTGTCAGTTTAATACAAATAGTTTTTTGCTAAGTAACAAATTTTCACCTCAAGTTTTTGTGCAGCTTGAAACCCCAAGTTTTGTGCAACAGAAGTTGCTTATGAGATGTGCACAACTAAATGATCTATAGAACTTGAAACTATATATCTAGGTATATACTCATATACATACATAAATATGTGTATGTGAGTATGCATGCATGGTGTAGGATGGTTGTGGGTGGGTGGGGATATTGGGTATAAACTGCCAACACCTTTGGCAAAATGAGCTCAAAGAATAGAAGTGGAGATCCACATGTTCTGATCTAGCAGGAGCCTCACCGCTAGTCATGCTCTTCTTGCTTATGCTTACAATGAATATGTAGCCTCAATGTGAGTTCATGATAGTTGAAAATGGATTTTAAAAGTCTGGATATTTCTATTATGGTACTTTATTGACTCTAATTTATGCTCCATAGATGGCCCACCTTTTGTGGTATTTCCTAGTTATGATCATGAACTTGACGAAAGGGAGGGCCTAGTTTCGTTCAATGTCTTGTGTACATTTGATCATAGCTCATACCTTCTTGTTGAAAAGCAAAGTTTAATACACTTGATTTGGGAGGATCCCTAGATTAACTCCCTTTCTTTTGTGCTTTTAGTATTTAGTATGACATATAAGGATGTGTAAAGTTGAGACCTTGGATAGGGGATGGAGAAAACTATGGAGATAAGATATAATAAACTTGTAAATTTGTATGGTTAAGTCGGGGAAAAGAAAGGCAGGGCTTCATGCTATATCAAAATCCTTGAGTGGTAACAACTCAGTCCTCCAGTTGAACTTTAGTGTAATAGATTATTGAGGGATTTTGTTGTTACTTTGATGCCTGAGCTTAAGTTATGGGATTGATAGCTATTTTTGTTAGCATAACATCTGCAGAAATCCATCCTCCCCAGCCCATATACTTCTATCTCAAGCGCGTCATTGTTTCCTGACACTGAGCAAATTCTTGCTTGTCTGGAGACCATGGATTTTCTGGTTAGACTCGTACCTGCCTGTTTTCTAGGCTTTGCGACATCGGTTCTCCCTCAACTAGACCTATGACCGGGAGTTGCCACAGTATCACAGATATTTTGTTTGAACATAAAGTTTTTGTCCCGTTAGCATAAGGTTACCTATGGAGCACACTCCTCCCTCAGATTAAATTTCACAACCTTTTTGGCTTACCAGCTTGATATTTACCTTTTTGGCTGGTGTCACATTTAAGACTGGAAACCAGAAAGCAATACAAGAACTTTCCATGAGATCTAGGGTTATTTGCACATAAGTATCCCCAAAGCTTGCTTTGTGTTAACTTTGATACCCCAGAGTTTTCTTTTGTCCAAAAAGTATCCCAAATTTTACGTATTTTAACTCTGATATCTCAAAGGTTTTCTCTTTTTCCCGAACAATAGTGCAAAGTTCAACAAACTTCTAAAAAAATTTTAACTTTGATACCCCAAATTTAACCAGAAATTTTTAAGTTTGAGGTATCAAAGGTAAATTATGTTGAACTTTGGGGTATTTTTTGGGCAAAAAAAGCTTTAGGATCCCATGTTACAATATACAATAATTGCCTGTAGACATAGCACGATTTCCTTCATGGTATCAGAGCCAGGTTATCTGATGTTCTAAATATACAGATAATACACAGCGGAAGACATGTATGTACAAAAATACTAAGCATGTAGAGAGCATGAAATATTCATATGGATCGTCTAATTAAATCTAACATGATCCTTATTATTAAGTGAGCATACAAGAGTTAGAAAGTCATACTTTCGTAGCGTGATTCGATGGAAGATCGAATAACCCCTAGCTCTTGCTCCTTGTAGTAGAAAATCTCCTTGTAGTGGATCTCCAAGTCTTCAAGTGAGCTTGATAAAATGGGAATCTTCTTAAGACACAAGGCAAGATATCCACCCCGGGGTTCTTAAAATCCTACTACTTCCTCTTGCTCAAAGATTGCTAAAGTTTAGTAAGAGGAGAGCTCTCTTTTATTCTCTTATGGAAAAAAACACTTAGCCAATTTTTCATTAACCTTTCCATAAGAAAAAGAGCTCATATTTATAGAGTGAAATGTGTTCATGATATGAATGACTCATCCTATGAGTCATGTAATGAATCATCAAAAATTAATGATTAATCAAGTGAGTCATGCAATGAATCATCTTATGAATCATTACATTTCAAAACCATGTGCTAATAAACCATGTGCTCAAACCATACCACTAAGTGACTCATCTCATGACTCATTATACATGGTATGTGTATTTCATAAATGAGAATACCAAATTATTATCACTAATACAGTATTTCATAAATACGGTATATAGTATTATTCCAATCTTTAATTAATTAGTCACTATATGACCAAATAAATCAAGAGTTGACCAAATAAACTATTTTGGTCAGATTTGTCTGATGTTCTAAATATACAGATAATATCCTTAGAATAAATACTAGACTATCAGACATTTCGGATAGTGATCGTAATGAAGAGATCTGATTAGTCAGTAACGTATATTCTAAAATGTTCCTAGTTGATGAAGTGTTGAGATAGGACATCATCATTTTGGTTTAGACTAGTGTATGCTTTATTTCTCCTTTTGAAGGAGATGATCAATCTCTTAGATCATTGATGTGAGACATCAAGATACAGTATACAGGTGACTCATTAGTGAATGAGTTGACTGAACGACTCGCCGAGAACATCTAGTTGGTAATATACTTAACTGTCAAATAGAAGTTCTCAAGTGATATAGTACATAGTAGTCTCTTGACCTGAGGCATGAGTGCAATATCTTATATGTCAGTAAAGATGTATTTAGACTTTTACCTAACCACAGTTCTTATTGAATTGTGCATAACGGTTCTTGTTGGGTACATCCCGAGACATAAGTAGATATTGAGATGCCAAGAAGGGATTCGTCTCTCCCAGTATAGGGGTTGATGTCATAAGATTGTTTGATATAACTATAGCCTGGAAATCCTTGGCCAAGGTGAATAAGATAAACTGAGTGTCAGTTTGATCTTATAGGTTATGAGTTTAATATCAATAAACACTAATCAAGCTATTAGGGTTTGACAGTTTGCCATACCCTAGGCTCAATAGTTTGACATGGTTTGACGAAGAGATCGCACTATACGGTATTATCATTGAGTGGTCCTGATAAAAGTGGATAAGTATCTTGCAGACCTTTATCACAACTTATACCCGGGTGGTCTTCATGTGTAGCTAGCACCTCTGTTGTACTTATGGATATGATCCACTACCGAGTTTTTTAAGTTGGGCCCTAGAGTCACACCAAGCGCGTACTTGAATCCTATGAAAGACAATTTATGGAGTGATGCGTATGATTGATACGCATATATGATTTCTTCCGGATACATATAAACGGTTATGTATATCGATAAAATCGGAATGCTATATGCTTAGGAAATGAATTCCAGTATTTTTCCCATAAAGTTAACTTTTAGTCAACTAGTTGACTTTTTGGTCAACAGTTGACTTTTGGTCAACTCTTGATTTATTTGGTCATATAGTGACTAATTAGTTAAAGATTGGAATAATACTATATACCGTATTTATGATTTTTTTTTTCATAAGAGAATAAAAGAGAGCTCTCCTCTTACTAAACTTTAGCAATCTTTGAGCAAGAGGAAGTAGTAGGATTTTAAGAACCCCGGGGTGGATATCTTGCCTTGTGTCTTAAGAAGACTCCCATTTTATCAAGCTCACTTGAAGACTTGGAGATCCACTACAAGGAGATTTTCTACTACAAGGAGCAAGAGCTAGGGGTTATTCGATCTTCCATCGAATCACGCTACGAAAGTATGACTTTCTAACTCTTGTATGCTCACTTAATAATAAGGATCATGTTAGATTTAATTAGACGATCCATATGAATATTTCATGCTCTCTACATGCTTAGTATTTTTGTACATACATGTCTTCCGCTGTGTATTATGCATGTAGACATAGCACGATTTCCTTCATCCCATAATTAAATTTTATTGAAATTTGGGGTATATTCTAGGCAAAATTGACTTTGGGCTAGGTGTGCATTCGGTCCGAATACGACTCAAATATGATACTTATTATATCCATATCCGCTTACCAATCTCGGATACGGATACAGATATAGATATACATCAATAAGGAAAATTCATATCCATATCTGCAGAATTCGGATACGGGTACGGATATACATGCGGATATATAAATGGATATGCATGCGGATACAGAATGGATATGGGAAAACTAGATAGTATTGAAAAAAAATAGTTCATGCGGATACAAAAGAGTTCATTAATATGTTCACTATAACTGAAAAGCTAAGATTAGACATCTTGATCATCAAAATTAACCTCAAATCCATAATCTAAGGATTAAAACTATTGTGACAGTGTGACTAATATGTTTTCGGATATTTCTGATACGGATCCGGATATTTACTATAAAACCATAGCCATAACCATATCTCATTGGTTATAGATTTGAGTAACCATATCCGTAGCCTAACGGATACGGTTACAAATATTACCTCGGATACAGATATGGTTTAGCACCCTACTCTGCGCTATCAAAGTTAAAATTGAGGTAGTTGACATACTTAAGTGCAAATAATCCTGAGATCTTCAAGGCCATTTGATGAGTAGACTGACCTATGGGTCATGCAACCCTCAAAATACCCGAGCAAAAACGATACTTGATTTTCTGCGGGAACAAACTAGAACTAGAGATGTAATTGCAACACAACCATGTAGGTATCATGATTTGATAAGTTATTCACTTATTCTTATTAATATAAGAGAAGTTTACTGTGGTCAGTAACATGGAAACTCAAGTATATTTGAAAAGATTAAGGTTGTTATTTTCGCTCATTACACAACCCACCCTAAGGTTAAGAACATTGATGTGGTAGATTTCTACTTTGTTGTGTACTAGCAGTTTAACATTTTTTCCTCATGCTATCTTCTTTTTTGTTATATAAGCTGTATTCCTTGTGGACATATATATGGTAGATCTTGCTTAGAACAATGGCTCCAAAGGCATCAGAGGAAGAGCGCTAAGGTAATATCTCTACTACTTTGATATCATACATTGGACTTTGGTGTGCCCATCAAGGGTATTCTTCTTTAGAGTATTTGTTTTACTTTGCTTTCGGTTATTCTGCAGTGCCCTCAATGCAGAGAGAAGTTTAAGCATAAGAACATCATCAATCTACATGCACAACTAACTACAGCTACAAATGAAAGCAATAATGCGAGTGCAAGTGGAGAAAAAGTTGAAGTTCAAGGCGAGCAAGAGGAACGGCCCTTGACCAAAGCGAATTGGGATATGTTGTGCTCAAGAGTGGACTCCCTGTATAACAGAAATGAAAATTCGCATTCAAGACTTAGCGGATTGGGACTTATCCTTGAGATGCTGCAAATCTTGGAATCAGAAATAAAAAATATTCAGATATAATTGGATAAAGGATTGGAAAGAAAATCGACGAAATTTCCAGAAACTGTTAGAATTGTATAAGAATCCATCAGATGTATCGGAGAATCCGTTTGATACAATGAGCCTCAACATTGAAGCAGCTTCTTTAGTAATTGAAGGGCTTATTAGGCAAATAGTGGATGTAGTGGATGAAACTGGTTGGAAAAATGATAGATGAACATATCAATAAGAGGTTTGAGGATTTTAGGAACAAAATTGGGGTTTTTCCAGTTCCTTCAGCTTCTATGCCTAAAGACACTTAACCTTGACTCATATTTTCACGTGATCATGATCTTGGTGACTTCTTGGTGGAGACGTATCTTTATCTCATAGATACCTTTTTGGCATTTTATTGGTCAATTTTATTTATTGAGTTCTCTCTCTCTCTCTCTCTCTCTCTCTCTCTCTTAAACCCCAGCTCCTTGGGCTTATGTTGTTTTTGATTTTCAACTGTAGAGCTTGAATGTATTTTAATGAATCTTACCATAGTTTTTTTTTTCAATGAAACTGACCATAGACTCATATTGTGTGAGCTTATGGTTTTATTTCCATGACCGTTTCATGATTAGAGCATAGTGTTTAAAATCTCTAGGGAAATTCAATTTTGACAGAAATTCAAGATTTATATCCCAGATTTATTTCCCACCTCTTCCTGGGCGTTAAAAAAGGTGTTTGGGGAACTTATTTTTTTTGGTCAAAGTAGTTTTAGCTTTTCCATATGGACCATATCTATATCTTTGATGACATCTCAAATAAAGGTAGTTTATGAGTCCAATTTAAAATAAAATAAAACTAGTCTTTACTAATACACAATTATATACATCATATCTACATCACGTTTAGAAGACTAACATAAGTGAATTCGTATCCAAAAAGTTTTGTATTGTTTATTTCGCTATCTTAGAAATTTATAGACAATTTTCTCAATTCAACACCTAAATAAAACGAGCAAAATTGATCCACGCAATGCCACAGTGTTAATCATGGATCAGTGAGCTAACTCGTCTACATGAGATTGGGAAGGGACCCGGTGCCAAAAGGTGTATGGGGAACTTAGTTTTTGGTCATAGAAGTTTTAGCTTTTTCATATCTATATGTTTGATGACATCTCAAATAAAGGTCGTTTATGAGTCCAATTTAAAAATAAAATTAAACTAGTCTTTACTAATACACAGTTATATACATCATATCTACATCACGTTTAGAAGACTAACATAAGTGAATTCCCTTAATTTTATACTTTCTATTAAATTTGTATGACAGCTTTAGCTAGATGCATTTTGTATTGTTGACAACTATCAATATGGGGGACAATGTTCGAAAAGAATCGGCTAAATATCATAACCCCCTAATTTCAGATGATTATTAGAAAATCCCCTTAATTTTGAAAATATCAGAAAATGCTCCATAATTAAGTTTAAGAGTTATTCAAAAGACCGCCCTTTAACTTTGAGATTTTATTTAGAAAACACCCTAATTTAGAGGTTTCTCTAATACAATCTCAAAGTTAAAGCAAAGGGTTTTCTTATAAAAATCTAATGGTGTGTTTGGATGGAAGGTAGGAGAGAGTAGGGGAAGAGGATTTGAGAGGTCACTTTGTTTGGGAGTTTAGGGAAGGAAAATAATTATAAAAGAAATTTGATCGTTTCTTTCCCTTCTCTTTTCTTAGTTAAAACTGTCAAATGATAAAACAAGTTTTCCTCCGTTTTTTCACCGAACTCCCAGAAAACATATTATATTTTTCTTCTCCTTCTCCACCTTCCCTTACCATATTTTATTTTCCCTTCTCATTCCCTACTAAACTCCCCAAAACACTATAAAAGTTAAAGGTGATTTGCTGGTAATACCTATACATTCTGATATTTTGCACGTTAAGAGAGATATTTTTTTTAATCGTCCAAAGTTAAGGGTGCTTTTTGATATTTACCCCCAAAAAAATTTATGGGGGTATGAAAGATTTGAAATTTTGGGGCGTCAAAGTGAAAGAAATAGGTAAACTCGGGGTATCAAAGTGGAAATTAGCCTCACTCTCCCTCTCCCTCTGAAATGCCATCAGTAGCCTCAAGCCTTAGCTCCGACCCCCGAAATGATGATGACGATGATGACGGGGATAAGGAGGAGGAAGAGGATAGCGATAACGACTCTGATGATTATTCTGATTCTGATTCTGATGAGGGGGTGGAGGAAGAAGAAGAGAATAGGGTTGAGAGCTCGAAGCATGGCGGCGCTGGTCGCCCCATGCATTTGCTTTTGTTCTTCGGACTCGGAGGGTCGTCATCAAATTTGGTAGGTTGTGATTCAGAATCTTTATGGGGGGAAATCCTGATTTTCTTAGTTGTGGTTGTTTAATTCGTTTTGATATGTGTGTGAACTGATTCCAGATACGTAGGTGCCTGTACATGCAGTATGTAGCTTCAGGATCCACGTATCAATTACGCGTGCATATCTAATAAGCAACTTGCGTAGCACACAACTTGAAGTGTAAATTAATTTCTTAGCGATTAGCTTGTTGTCAATAAAATGCAAATAATTAGTCGTCGTTTTGACCTATGAGTCTTTGTCACTAGCCTGTTTGTCAATGCAACACAAATAGTTTTATGCCACACGAGATGCTCAGGAGATTAGCGCATCTAGACAATATGCAGATCTGGCAGCTACGTATGTATGTATGTATATACACATGCAGATATACTTATACACACATACACATGTATGCATATACATAGAGGCGTAGTCAGTAAGGGCTTGCCCTGGGCAGCTGCCCAAGGCAAGAATTGTATCTTGTGTGGAGGGGTCATTCAAAGGTAAACACTTGTGACGACGGTTATTAACCTCTTATGAGCAACTGAGATAAGTTGCTTAAGCAATATGAAAAGAAATTAATTAGTATTTCAGAACCAGCACTGTACATTATAAAAGAACTTGATTCGGTTCGTGTTGACTCTTCGACTGCAAGCACAGAAAGAGCATTTTCGGTGATGAAACTCATAAAAACATTATTGCACAACAAGATGAGAGATGAATTGCTTGCTAATAACATGATACTTTATATTGAAAAATAAATTACTTCCAGCCTCGACACAGAAGAAATGGTAGAGGAGTTTGATTCATGACATATTCGTAGACCACTTTTATTTTTCACCCAGGGCAAAAAAAAATCTGGCTACGCCACTGCATATACATGCATGTACGTCGATAACTATGTGTGTGTGTGCACGCATGTCCGCCAACTCATTTAGTGAAATGAGCTACAGAGAATTAAAAGTGGTGAGATCCACAAGTTCTAATGTAACTGCCAGGATGAGCCTCACCGCAAGTCATGCTAAATGTGCCATGCTCTTTCTACTTACGCTTAGAATGTTTTTTTTGTCAATGAAATTTTTATTCATCTACCAAATATGAGAAATTTATGTACATCAAGTATCTCCTTAACATTGAGATATCCAAAACCTGAATCAATCAAAAAGAAAATTCTAAAGAAAACTCTATATGTACAGAGCTTATACAAGGAACATAACCAATTCTTATTCTCATCCGATATTGGTGCATTAAGATTGGACATGAGAATTGTTTGTTGGAAATTTGCAGTAAAAAGACAATGAAAAAAAAATTGACTTCTATTCCTCTCAAAATCAATTACAATTTGGATTCCGATTACAAAAGAGAGGAGAATGAATTTGATTCTCCCCTTTGTTTAATTCTGGGTTCTTCACGGTGGCGATGAGATGCCTCCCTCGAATGCTCGCGTCGAGTTTGCTTCTCGTTGACGATCCGAACGTCTTGATTCACTGGAACGTGATTTTCTCCTCACGATTCGACGCTGTGGAGAACTTGCGTGGCAAGTCTTAAAAATAACTCTTGACGAGTTAATAACTCAGAGTGAGTTTTAGAAGAACTTGCAGAGCAAGTTTTGAACTCTGATCGAGTTGATAACTCTGAATGAGTTGATAACTCTGAACGAGTTTGAAACTCTATGGAAGAGTTGATTTAACCGAAAGTCGGTTAATAAGCCAAGGCCGAATAATTTCAAAGGCTTCAATAAAAGCCTTCCAAAATGATTCAAGAGCTCCTTCAAGTCGCTGATCTCCAAAGCTCTCTGTTGCTGCAGAAAGCTCAAAGATGCCCGATCAAGGATCCCCAAAATGTCAGCCAAAAAAAAGCCCCGAACTCAGTTGAGTTTCCCCCTATTTATAGGGGATTTAGGGGTGTAACCGCCCCCTTAAATCTCTCCTTAATGAGGGTTTAATAGGGTGTAACTGCCCCCCATAAATCTCTCCATGATAGGGTAGTGATCCCCTAAAATCCTGGGGAGAAAACGGTTCTGGAACCGTTCAAATCGTGCTTGAACGAGTCAAACGCTGAAAACAGCGTTCTGGGCCCGAACTGTGCGTTTCTGGACCTGAAAACGCACAGTTGGCCTGAAAACGCACGGTTGGCCTGAAAACGCATAGTTGGGACGTTTTAGGCTGAAAACGCACAGTTGGCCTGAAAACGCACAGTTGGGACGTTTTAGGCTGAAAACGCACAGTTGGCCTGAAAACGCACAGTTGGGACGTTTTAGGCTGAAAACGCACAGTTGGCCTGAAAACGCACAGTTGGCCTGTTTCAGGCTGAAAACGCACAGTTGGGACGTTTTAGGCTAAAAACGCACAGTTGGCCTGAAAACGCACAGTTGGCCTGAAAACGCACAGTTGGCCTGAAAACGCACAGTTGAGCCTGTAAACGCACAGTTGGGACGTTTTAGGCTGAAAACACACAGTTGGCCTGTTTCAGGCTGAAAACGCACAGTTGAGCCTGTAAACGCACAGTTGGCCTGTTTCAGGCTGAAAACACACAGTTGAGCCTGTAAACGCACAGTTGGCCTGAAAACGCACAGTTGGCCTGAAAACTCTGTGTTTTGATGTTATATCACGAGGATAACCTTTACGTTTTGAGGTTATAACGCTGGTTCGACCTGTGCGTTTTGACTCTGTAATGCAGAGGCGAACCTTAGGCGGGCTTGGCGAGCTTCAGGCTAAGTCCAATGTTCTGACGAAGTCCAGTCTTGCAGACGGACTTCAGAACATAACTTGCTGCGAAGAACAGGTCGTAACTTTCAAACTGTAAGTCAGAATTGGATGAATTATATATGAAAATCGGCTATCTCGACGAGACGGGGCCATCCGAACCAAGCCGAATGCTTCAGTTCGCTTCCTCTGTTTCACCAAATTCCCTACGGTTTGAGAGATATCTGCGTTCT